TGAGCGCGACTTTGTTTTGCCTGTTCGTCGTCGGTCTTTCTCCATTTACATTGACAAAAAAAACCCTTCACCTTCATTTGAATGCTGCATTTATTTAACTTGTCTTGCTTTGCCTTTTCATCTTGGCTAAGTCTTGCAAAGTGACGCCTTTTGTGCATACCCCCCTTTTTTCCGCTATTCACATTTTAAAGCATCGCATTCAACACACTGCCACCACCACCACCATCGTAGTTCATGTATGCGAGTGGAGTAATTAGGAGGGTCAATGCGAAGCCTTGACCTGCTGCTGCTGCTGCTGCTGCTGCTACTGCTGCTGCTTGCAGCGTGGTCACTTGCAGTTTGTCGTACGGGCAGCAAATCATGACCGCTGGCCGCCTTTTTGCTCGCTTGCTTGCGGCCACAGTCGTGCAAGTGTGCGCACATGCCTATTCCCGTTTAGCAGTAGTGCTTTGCCTCCTTGGCTTGCAGTCGTAGCTGCTCGTCCTCCTCCTCCTCGTTGTGCCCTCCTGCCAACGTGGCTGACTACTTAGGGGCAAAGCAAAGTGGCGCGCCCCACGTAGTGATCGGTAAAGGAAATGCGAATTCTCTCCTCCCTTTCATTTCATTTAGCATTTTTCATTTTTGTTGAGGCTTTTGTTGTGCAGTGTTAGGCTTTGTTTACCTTTTTTACCCTTCATTTAAATATGACTGTAAACGGTGAGGCTTTTGGCTGAAGTGCGCTACACTTTCACCTGCGACGCACATCGCTGTCGTCGTTTTTGCGTTTTTAGCTAACCTTTTTGAATTGATTGCACGAATTCGTTGCGTGCTGTGCTGTTGTTTGTATGTGTGGGACGCAGCGTGGCCTTCCTTCTCACATTCACACACTTCTACGCCTGCAGTGATTGAAAAGTAATGCTTACCGAATTGCTCACACGCTTGCTTGCCCATCGCCTTCTGCCACCTCCTGTCGACGTTGGCAGAAGGCGAAAATGTTCACATTCCTGAGTGCAATCATCGCCATCAGCCCACAAGGAGGTGATGACGCGTTTGACATCATCACTTTGCACTGTGTGTTGACAGCATTGTGCTACTGCCACACTGCGTAATCCACGTCCTCACGCCAATTACAGATGCCTGTGTGAGTGTGTGTGTGTGTGTGATTTTTCGTTGCCGCCACTGCGCCAATGCCCGCAGCACGGCAATTCAGGCCTTCTCTCCTTCCCACATGCCTTCGTCACGGCCCTTTGATTGACAGTCTCATGGTGATCTGTTTTGCTGTGCTGTGCTTTTCTTCCTGCTTAACTCACTCTCGCTGATGGTGTGTGTTTGCGCCTTCACACCTCGACACCGTCTTCCACGTTCTCCTCTCAGCCGCACAGGAGTGATGTGTTTGGTGTGGGAGGAGGCGTTTTGATGTTTTCATTTTTTTACAACTGCTGCCTAGGCGGGTGTCACGCCCACGTGTTTTGGTGAAATGAGGATGGCGACTGGTGTGGCACCGTGTGATGGCGGGTCAGTCTGGCTGCAGTGTTGCATGCAAAATGCTGTCGCCTCACCACCTCCACCACCACCACCGCAAACGCAGCACTTGCACTGCTTTCTCAAGCAGCTCCATTGGAGCAGCAGCAGGTGGTGGTGGTGGTGGTGGTGGCGTGATTGAAATGCGTGCTTTCTTGCAAAAGCCTGAAACGCGGACGTGACGCAGGGGTGATTGTGATCACTGGAGAATGCATTGCATTGCATTGCATTGGCACTGTCCTCCACCGTGCTCCACTTCCACCTTTCCATCTGCGCTCGTCAGCAGATTGCACAAGGTGGGCTTTGGTGCGAATTGAGGCCTCACCGAATGGTCCACTGCCCAGTGGCTGTGCCCACCAATCTGACAAACAAAGGGCACTGCTTTGCAGTTCCGCACTCGGCGCTACTCCAACGACGCGTAGAGGAGTGGCGTCAGTGGATGAGGCGCCTCTGCTCGGTGCACGTGATGCATCACCAGACGCCTTGTGAGCCTGCAAGCATTGAACTGTGGGTGGTTTGTTTTGCCCTCAACTCACTTCCTCCCCTCAGCCTCCGCTGTCGATGCAGTCCCTTTGAAGCACTTCTGCCTCTTCGTTCGAACTGCGTCTTCCACCTTGTCTCCGTTGCCTAGCAGTGCCCTCTTTGCATCGCCTCAATCGCACCACCCACGTGGTGTCCCTACAATTTCGGTTGTGTGCGCTTCATCTATGCGTGTGTCAATGCAAAGTATTCGCGAACACGTCGTCTCCCTCCTCCTCCTCCTCCTCCTTCATAATCTGCAGTGATTTGCATCTTCTTCGTCGCGTATTTACGTTTGGGCCTGCACAACAGGAAGTAGCACCACTTATCTGTCACCAAGTTGGATGTCGGTGGGGGTGGGGTGGAGGAGGGCTTCCGGTTTCGCAACACTCTGACCGCAGCACTCCGCCTTGCGTTGTAGCTTCAACCAGTACGAAGTTATTCCACCACATCCTAACACGTTGAGTCCGCTTTAGAGGCGTGTGGTGCATGAGGGCTTACGAGATCTACTTCTGCAACACACTCCCTTCTATTCTATATGCGTCTTCACTGCTCCCACTCCTTCAGTCCTCTCCAACTCCACGCCCC